GTCCACAGAGGACTAGCGCTAGGGGACATTTTCCCAGAAGTGTCTCCAGGAGCTGGGTGAGGGTCTGGTCTACTGGGGGGACCACGTTGGGCATGTCCTGGATGGGGGCTTCAACCTCTGTCCCCTCTCTGCCATCAAGGATCGGAGCTTGAAGCTGAGGCCAGCCCCCAGGCATGGTGGTGGACCGGCCTGGGACGGGCAGCCATGGGATCGGTCCACGGAGCCCCAGGCCTGGACACAACCCCACACTCGAAACTGCGTGGCCTTGGCTAGTGATGGCCCCTCTTGAGCCCAGTTTCCTCGACTCCACAGCAGGGCTGGCCACTGCTAAGGCTGGCGTGTGTGCACGATGATGACATCCACGGCCTCCCGGTCCCTTGCCGCCACCAGCAGCACGTGTAAACCAAGGGCACCTGGTCACCAACCCCGCTTGTCCCTGTCCCCCCTGCCCCCCACTCACCGGACACCTGGCCCACAGAGCTGAGGGCCCCACGAAGCCGCACTGCACACCACCCAAGAGCAGGAGTTTCCCATGGGCACAGCGTGGGCTAATGTGGGCCACTCACATGGAGGCGCTCAGACGGGCGGGAATATGCAGTTGTTATCAGTGATTGCCTGGGGGCAGGGCATGCAGGTAGTTACCGTCTTTGTTTTAATAAAGCACTTTCGACGCCCTACCATGAATGCACATCGTTCTGAAACCACGAGGACGTGTGTCAGGGAAACGACGAGAAGATCCCATGTGTATAGATCCTTCCAGCCTTTTAGAGACAGCCGTGCACTTGCGCGCGCGGCAGAAAGTCCCTCGGGCAGCAAGATGTGAGGCAGACTTTTGTTTTTTAGCGACTTTCTGATTTTCTTAAGATTTCAAATGATCTAACTTACTACAATCTGTGGTTTAAAAGCTTTTAAAAATGTCCACCCACCAGTAAATATGTTAAGCCAGAAACAAATATAAACACACACACACCCACATACACACATACACACTCGCACACACATACACATCCTTCAGTCACACATTCATTCACACACTCATACACACCGACACACCAGAGGTCCACACTGCACAGGCACATACCACACACACACACACACACACATGCTACACCCAGATACACCATCAACACACTCACACAGACACTCCTCTGCAGCACACACACTCACACCACCTCACACACACACAGCAGCGCCACGCCACACCCACCTCACGTGGCTCCCTGGCCCCACCTCACACAGCTGGTCTGCACCAGGGAGCCGGGGCCGGTGCTCACCTGCTCCTGCCGCACCACAAACAGCACGTCCTCTCCTGGCCGCACGGACACGGCCTGGCCCAGGATGCTGACCCGCAGGCCCCGGGGTGGCGTGAGGGGACACTGGAGGGGCCCTGCACCACGCTGAGGGTCCACACCGCCCTCACACACATTGGACGCCACCTTCCGGTACCTGTGGCGAGGAGAGCGGGGAGGAGAGCGGGGCCAGGGCTGCCGTCAGCACTCAAACACGGGGTCCTAGGGCCCCCACGGCCCCCATCCCTCCCCTGTCCCATTTGGAGAAGGAGCCTGAGGGGTGGGGTGGGGGTCCCGGGCCAGGCCACCGTCCCTCTCTGACCCCTGACTGGGACAGCAGCCAGCTGCCCTGCCTTCACTGCCCAGCCCCAAGGGGCTGTCCTGTGGCCTCCCCAAACCTGGCCTAGCCTGGCTGGACTCCCCACAGCCTTCCGAAGGTCTTCCTGGCCTGGCCAGACTCCTCAGAGGTCACCCCGAGCCCATTCTGTCCTATGCTGACTCCACAGTGTCCCCATGTTCGCACACTGGCTCACAGACACCTTGTCCACGTGTGTGGGGGACACATAAGGCCCTGGGGATGTCAAACCATCTGGATGGCCCCAGGGACCCTGACTGGGAGGGGAGCACGGGTGCGGTGGTTCATGGTGGGTGCAGAGGCCTGCGGGTGGCTGGGCCAAGGTGGCAGTACAGCACCCCAGCGACCCTGGGCAATGTGGCTATCTCCGGCTATATCAACGTGGGTGAAGTTGGCTCCTGGGGCGTAGGGGACGCTGGGCCCGGCTAGCACCTGTGACCCCTCCCAGGGGTTGCAGCAAAGTTAGAGGGCAGCCCAGGGTGACCACAGGGCAAGGCCGGCCCAGGGCATGGCCAAGGAAGGCTGCCTGGAGGAGGTGCCAGGACATACCAGTCCCAGGTCGGGTTCACAGTGGTCCGGGCATGGGGCCCGGCTCTGCAGGCTCACAGGGGATTGAGCATGGGTCGGGGACCGGGTGGGGGAGGCCCAGCCCTGTGGGACCCGGCACAGCCGACAGCCCCTAGGACGGTCTCGCTCAGACCAGCCCCAGGCCCTGCTCTGGGACAGCATAACCACCCAACTGTGGGTGGCCCGGGCCCCGGCGCACCCCGCCCACCCTGTGCACTCACCCGGGGCTGGTGCGGTATGTCTGCCCCAGGGCACAGCCGTCTGGAGGGGATGCCGGGTCAAACCAGAAGTTGGCCAGACACTTGCTGGGGCCGGGCTCTGGGGCCAGGGCGCGCTCAAAGCCATAGTCGCTGGGAGCAGGGAGGGAGAGGGTTGCAGTCAAGGGGCGGCCTCCGGGGTGGGGGCACAGAAGGGAGCCCACGGAGCCCAGGATGGAGGTCCCACGGGGGAGAGGGGGCGGGGCATCGTATGGAAAGCAGCAGTGGTGGGTGAGGAGATACGAGTGGGTTGGTGGGGAGGCCGGCCAGGAACGGGGTGTCCCCTGTGGGCCAGGGCAGCAACAGAGGCATCGAGCAGAATGGGGGTTCAGAGGTGGGGAGGGCCCAAGATGCCCTGACTGCCCCTCCTCTCCCTTCCTCACGAGCAGGCCCCCACGAGCTGTCCACACTGTCCACCCAGCAGGAGGTCTCGGGGGAGCCGGCCCTCATGAGGAGGCCTAAGGGGTCCTGTGGACCCTGGGGCGGGGGGGTGGTTTAGGGCAGCTGGCCATCAGCCTGCACAGAGGCCAGGCATCCGAGTGCCAGGGGCTGTCTCACCAGTGGAAGTCCGCAGCCCTGCACTCGCACACGCGGGACGTGAGGGCCGACGTGAAGCCCCGCCCCTTGATGCACCAGGACTCAGCCTTTCTCTTCCGGAAGCTTCTCTGCTGGCCCATGAGGCAGCGGTCGCCCTGTGGCAGGGACAGGGTGGGTGGTGGCCTCAAGCGGGGTCAGTGCCTCCACAATCCTGTGAACCGCGGATCTCCCCACAACAGTGGGAGGAGGACGCAGTGTCCTTAGGTCAAGCTGGGGCTCCCTGGGCACCCACTGTGTCCACGCGTGGTGGGCCATGGGACCACAGGGCTGAGGGAAGTACAGGACCCTCCTCCCCACCCTCCCCTCAGCCCAGGAGACGGCATGAATACACTTAGGGGGCCTTGGTCCTGAGCCCCAAGTGTAGATGCCTGAGTTTGGACAGCAGAGCCCCCTGTTTCCACCCCCAGCCCCCGCCAGGAGACACTGGGCATGTCCCCGGAGAAACAGTCCGGTGTTTGTGATGGATGGAGGGCGGGTGACTCGGTCCATAGAACTGCCCGGTGTCTCCTCCCGAGATGGGACCTTCTGGAACCTTCTGAACACAGCTGCCCGAGCAGGTCTGCCAGGGCTCATGGAGTGAGTCCCAGGAGTGAGGAAGTGTCCAGAAGGGCCCCAGAAACACCCCACCCGGCACCTGCAGGTCACGGAGCTCCCAGGAGGCGTAGTCATCCTCTCTGCACGGCCGGGGGAAGGAGGGCCGGAAGTCCACCTTGACCAGCTCCCAGTCCGAGCGGAAGCTGATGTGGCCAAAGACCCTGTGGACAGGGGGAGCTCCTTAGCTGCCCAGAGGGGCCTGTCCTGGACTGTGGCTGCCCAGCCCATTGGAGGGTGGACCACCCACAGTCTGTCCCAGGGTCAGGGGGAACCAGGCCTGGACCATGGACACTCAGCCCCCATCTTGTCCCTGGAGACCCCGAGTGCTGGGGACATGAGGCCCAGTGACACCCAGTGGGGGCTCAGCCTGTGCTGGCTGTGTGGCTGCTGGTCTCTTGGGGGGGGGTGTACAGAGTGCCGTGCTGTGTGGAAGTGCCCGGCCTGGCTCAGACAGGGAGGGGCAGGGGCTACCAGAGCCTCTTTCAGGGCACTGGAATGGAGGAGTCAGTATAAGGGGCAGAGGGGCGGAGGGGAGGGCAGGGCACCCAGGAGGGTCCAGAACTGGGTGCTGTGACACTGTCACCCCCGCCCAGGGTGCTTGAGGACAATGGTGGATGTGAACAGGAGCGAGAAGGGTCCCCCACTGGAAGCCCCCACCCTGCACCTGTATCAAAGGCACAGACAGAGCCAACTTGGGCAGGGGGGCCCTTCCTAGGGAGCATCGCAGTCACACACCAGCCAACTGGTGGGTCCAGCAGGCTTGGGGGGGAGACTGTGCAGGTCTCAGTGCCTGCCCAGCTGCCAGCCACCTCTCTCTGGTAAACACAGCCAGAACCTTACTGGCCAGTCAGTCAGCCCGGTCTATTTCCTCCTGGTCACTCAGACACTCAGCAAACACTCCAGCACCTTTGGAAGGTGGTCACCCCCTGGGGAGACCCCTCCCCCACCCCAGAAAGCAAACCCCCTGCCAGGCCTCTCCTGCTGGGTCCTGCCCACTGGAAAGGCTGCTACTCCGGGGCTCCACTCAGTGCCCAGGATAACCCCGGGCCCACAAATCCTGCAGATGAAGGAGCCCCCTTCCTTTCTCACAGATCCTGCACACGACAGACCCCAGGCTCACAGCCCCCTGCACATGAGAGACCCCAAGGCTCATAGCCCCCTGCACATGACGGACCCCCAGGCTCACAGCCCCCTGCACATGACAGACCCCCAGGCTCACAGCCCCCTGCACATGAGGGGCCCCAGGATCACAGATCCTGCACATGAGGGACCCCAGGCTCACAGCCCCTTGAACATGAGGGATGCCCCCTTCCCCAAGCTCAGGGCCCTGCACATGAGATACCTCCCCGGGCTCACAGCCCCCTGTACATGAGGGACCCCCAGGATCACAGCCCCCTGCACATGAGGGACCCCCAGGCTCACAGATCCCTGCACATGAGGGACCCCCAGGATCACAGCCCCCTGCACATGAGGGAACCCCCTCCCCAGCTCACAGATCCTGCAAATGAGGAATGCCCTCCTCCCCAAGCTCAGGGCCCTGCACATGAGGGACCTCCCCGGGCTCACAGACCCCCACAAATGAAGAACCCCCCTCCCCAGGGCTCACAGACGCCTGCAGATGTGGGACCCCTGAGTTGACAGATGCGGGTGCACAAGTACCCCTGTCTGACAGATGGAGAAACTGAGTCACGGGATTCCCCCATGGGCACAGAGCAGGACTTGAGCCCGGGGCCGGCAGTTCCTGGGTTGTGGTGTCTGCGTGGTCAGAGTGGCCCAGTGAGCGTAAACCCCCCAGGGATGTCACTTCTCTGCGAGTCTCCCACGGGAGCAGAGCTGAGGGCTTGACCCTTCAATCCCGGGACCCCCAGGACCGGTGGGACAAGGTCGTAAAGTTCAGTGGACAGACCTGGAATGATCTGTGCCTTTTCGTTTTTGTTTTGCTGGGTTTTTTTCCCTTTTTATTCTTTTGTTTTGTTTTCCCTCCTGTTACTCAACCTTGCGTTTTCCTTGTGTTTTGACCCTGTGGCTGTTGGTTTGCCTAGCTACGTGAGGCGGGCATGGGACGCAAGCCCGAGGAGAAGGCAATGGGACCCAAGGTTCCGGAGGGACTTGGGGAAGAGGGTGGGGGACCAGAGAGAGGGCACACCACGCCTGGACGGGAGCAACGAGGGGATTAAAGCAACAGCGAGGAGGGCAGAGGGATTCCGGGTGTTGGACAACAGCAGTCTGGCTGAGGGGACGACCGCGAGGCAGAAGAAGGCCGAGCGTGGCGGTGGATGTGGGGAATGTTGTAAGAGCTGCGGTGGCCCCCAACAGAATAATTAGGAAACTGAACGACGGGAAAAACGCAGAGGCTGCGTGGACCCAAGGCGGCAGCTGTGCCCCAGGAGCCTGTGGCTGAGAGAAGCCGGTGCACCATCGTGCTGACGAGGCCCAGCGCCTGTGTGGGGGTGGCCTGTCACGTGGCTGCCACAGGGACCCCTGGCCCAGGGCCCCGGTCCCTCCCGGCCCCAGGGCTGTGCTGGTGGGAAGAGAGGTGGTCATGGGGTCACTCAGAGGACAGCTGTGGGCAGAACTGGAGCAAGAGCCATATGGGGAAGCTCCTGAGTGTGTCGGGACAGGAGGGGGAGGACAGAGAGACGCAGAGCGATCGGGAGAGACAGACATTGAGATAGAGACAGACAGAGAGACACAAAATGGAAGAGACAGAGAGACGGAGAGCCCAAGAGAGGGAGAGGGAGAGCATAGCAGAGATGGAGAAAGGGATCGAGACAGAGGGAGAGGGAGTGGAACAGAGAGTGGCAAACGCACGAGAGAGAGAGAGAGGAACGAGACCAAACCACAGATTCCCACCACCAAGTCAGCGGCGACGCAGCGACCCCACAGGGCAGGGCAGAGCTGCCCGCGCGTCTCTGAGACTGAAGACACCTCATCTTTCTCCTGCAAAGCGGCTGCTGGATTTGAACTGCTGACCTTGTGGTTAGCATCCCTACTCATAGCCCAGGCTCCTTCGAGAGACAGAGAGGCGGAAGGGGTATAGTTGGTAGAAAGACAAGCCCAGGGCAGAGCGTGTGTCCCTACACCCAGGGCCCCCACCCTGGGTTCCATGTCCAGGGTCTCCCATCCTGTGTCCTCCATTCTGGGCTCCCCTCCCCCCCGGGCCCCCACCCTGGGGTCAGGGTGTCATGGAGAGGGCAGAGCAGGACACAGGCCTGTGCCCCGAGGGGATGGCCACCAGAGATGGATCTGGGACATGACGTGGACTATCAGGCGAGTGGCTGACTGGAGACGTGGACAGGGACAGCCTGGGCTTTCTCTGGCCGGTGGGTGGACAGCCAATGAGGGCCACCACGAAGGACATGGGTGGGTGACGAGCCAGCAGGAAGGGGTCCCTGGGGCCCCCGCAGCCAGATGGTGATGGCCCCAAGCAGAAGGCAGGGCAACCCTGTCCAGCTGAGACAGACAGGGCCAGGGAAGCTGGGCTGTCCACCCGCAGGAGGGGTAGGCTCCCTTGCCCCTCAGTGAGAGGCGCAGATGTGGGGGCCAAACGCAGCCTGACCGGGGCCCAGGCGTGGCGAGGAGGGTCCAACGAGGGAAGGAGAAGGCTGGGCTGACCTCCAGGTCAGGTCACGGTGCTCCACACGGCACTGCACCGTGTGTCTCTAGTCCTCGTCCGCCAGGGCCTGGGGTTCCCCGTCACCACACTACCACCGCCACCATCACCCTGCTCCCCATCCCCATCAACTCCTCTCACCTCCGCCACCATCGCCACCACGTCACGAGCATCACTGTCCCCTTCATCATCCCCATCACCTCCATCATCACCTCTACATCGCCACCGTCACATCACCTCCATCACTGTCACCACCATCGTCCTCCTCGTCCCCCGGAGGCACCCAAAGCTGGTCCTTCCCCTCAGACCAGAGGTTCCCCCTCCACAGCTAAGTGACCCTTGCAGATGACCACGCCTCTGGGCACACCCCAAGTGGCTGAGTCCGGGTGGCCACGGGCATTAGGAGCCTCATCTGTGCCTGGGTGGCAGAGAGGCTGGTGCGAAGATGAAGGTGAGGGTGGGGAGGAAGGCCAGCCCTGAGCCTTGCCTCTAGCAGTCGGGCCTGGACAGGCTGTCCACCTTTCCCTTCCCCAACTCCCCTGGGGGGCTCCAGCCCCTCTTTCCCCAGTACCTACTCACGTCATGACCAGTGTCTCGTCCCCTGGCTCACTCAGCAGCCCGTCCACGAACACCGAAGTGCTGGTGAAGTTGTGGGTGCTCCATGTGTGGCCTTCGTCCACGCTGAACCTGTGAGAGAGGACGTCAGCCGGCCCTCCCGCCGGGGCCTCTGGCTACCTGCCGGACACACTGCCTGCACTGACGCCCACCTCCTGCCTGGCCACCCAGTGGCAGAGGCTGCACCTGATTGGGGATGCCAGGGCTTGCTGTCCGGGTGCCATTAGAGCACCTGTGCCCAGGACCCAGGCTATTGGGCCTCAGGGATTGTCCAGGTCCACCCCCAGCACCCGAGCCCTGCCCAGAGGCCAGGCCTGGAATGGCTTGCAGCCTCCTGGGCTAGACTCAACCAGCCCCCGGGGGCTTCCTGAACCAGCTCTGAGGTTGTGGAGTGGACAGCCCACCTGGTCCAGCCATCCTGCCCACCTCCTCCAGGTTACTCACTCCCCCGGAGGCCTAAAGGTCGCCTCTCCAGGAAGCCCTCCGTGACCCCCTGAGGCCAGGGGCCTCCACCACTGCACCCCATCATGTTGTGCTGGCCGCCCCAAGCCCTGCAGGTCCGGGGGGAGGGGTGCCGTGTGGACTGTGCCAGGCCCTTACTTGAGGACCTTCAGGGGGATGGACGTGTCCTTGACAGCCACGATGACCCCGCCGTGGTCCAGGAACAGCACGTGGTGCTCCTCCTCAAACACCTGCGGAGCGAGCGCACCATGGCAGGGAGAGAGGGCAGCAGGGCAGGCTCTGCAAAGCCAGGCCCGAGGCCCCGAGCAGGACAGCGCAGGGAGAAGGCCCAGGGTAGTGTCAGCTCCTCCCCAGAACCCAGCGCAGCCAGCCTGGTCTGGCGTGGTCCTCACGCCCCGTCCCCCACCCCACAGATGCAGCTTGGGGCCTGGTGACAGAGTCCAGGGAGGGCTAGTCACTGCCATGGGCTCTCCAGGGGACGTGGTCACAGCCCCGGGTGGGGGCCATCGACAGAGGGGGACCAGGCCCAGAGGGAGCCCCCAGCCCAAGGGTGGGGGCCATCGACAGAGGGGGGCCAGGCCCAGAGGGAGCCCCCAGCCACGGGTGGGGGCCATCGACAGAGGGGGGCCAGGCCCAGAGGGAGCCTCAGCCCATGGGTGGGGGCCATCGACAGAGGGGGACCAGGCCCAGAGGGCGCCCCCAGCCCATGGGTGGCAGAGCACAGGCCTCCTTGTCTGCGTTCCCGCCTGTCACACACAGAGCACCACGCAGACCCTACATGGACATGTGTTCCTGTCCCTGGACAATGCTCCAAGAGGAGCCGATGTCCCCTCCCCCATGCCATCTGTAACTGCACCTCCCCTGGGAAATGGCCCATCATGCCCTGCTCCAGCCAGGACACCCCCCATCCCAGGTTCTGGACACATTGAGCACCCCCACCCCCCGTCTATACAAGTTCTTCACAGGAGCACCTGTGAGCCTTCTGATGGGCAGCAGTCACTGTGGGCACCTGGGTGAGGACACTGGCTGGGGTCACAGGTGCAGACACAGGGAAGGCCATACAGGTGTGGACACAGGTGGTGGCATACAGGTAAGGATATAGGTAAGGACATACAGGTGAGGAGGGTATACAGGTGAGAATACACGTGAAACCATACAGGTGTGGACACAGGTGATGGTATACTGGTGAGGATGCAGGTGAGCCAATACAGGTGCAGGCACAGGCATGGAAACAGATGAGAATATACAGGTGTGGGCACAGGTGAAGACAAGTTTCTGTGCTGGGTCACCGCCAGAAGGCTGGCCTATCCCATGCGTGCCGCCAAACCCCCGATGCAAACCCACCATCGCCGTGTTGGTTCTGCCTCGGAGCGGCCTGTGAGTTTCTGGAACCACAACTCTCCACAGGAGCAAGTGGCCCCCTTGGGGTGGCTGGTGGGTTTGACCCACCAACCTTGGAGTCAGCTACCCTCGCCTAATGCACAGTGCCACTAGGCGCTCTGAGCCCCCAGGGCCCCTGAAATGCGTCTGCCTGGGCTGCGTTTGCACCACCAAAGAAGCGCCTGCAAGGTGACAGCACCAAGTGCCACCCCCGCAGAGTCTTGCTCTGGGCTCCCTCCCCGGTGCTGACAGGGACCGAGCGCTCGCCTCTGTCCCTTGCCTGGCATCCCCTCCCACTATCCCTGGTACCAGCATGGTGCCCAGCCCCCAGCTGCCAAGGGAGCGGCCGAGCTGAGGCCAGGCTGTCTGGACCCCTTGACAGCTGCCTCCATGAACCCCAACATTCCCGCCTGCAATCCAGCCAAGGGGCCACGTGGCCGAGACAGTCCAGAGCCAGTGTCTGCAAGGAGTGTACCTGCTGCTTCCTCCATCAGAAGGGCAGGTGTGACCTCTCAGGTCTGGCTGTGTCTCATCTCGGGGGTGTGGTAGGTGACAAACTGGCGGCAAACCTCCCCCACTCTTGATGAAACCCACGGAGGGCTGAGGGGGGCTACGTGTGAGCCTCCTGCTGCGGGCAGAGCCTGTGCCCACAGCAGGGTCTGTTCGCCTTCTGAAAGCAGAGATGGCTGCTCTGGGCAGCTGGACCTCGTCACTTCTGCTTCTGGAGGTAAACGAGGGTAAGCAAGGCGGCTGCTGTCCCAAGGCTCGGCCTGGGTGCTCTGTGCCCATGGCCTGGGGCACCCCCTTCTCTTGGCCTCATGTCCATCCCTGTGCACCGCCCAAGCCAGCCCTGTGACCCCGGGCTCCGGGTGGGCCATGGTCAGCCCAGTGTGACCCACGGTCAGCCCACCCTGCTGCATCAGCTCAGTGCCCACAAACTGAACCCAAACTTCACTGTCAGCAAATCCGTTCAGGCTCAGAGATTCCGGACTGAGTGGTCCCAGCCGTGGGGCTCGGAGACCCTGGATCTACACTCACACAGGAGGCTCCATTTCCTTCCCTCAGAAGGGCTGCTGGAGTCGAACCTCTGGCATCGAGGTTGGCAGGCCCACATGTAACCCACTACGCCACCCATCTTGCTTAAATCATCACCCTCGGGGCCCTGCTCCCCAATGCCCTCATTTTGAGGCCTTCAAAGTCCACTCAGAAGCCCAGCTCTGCCCATGGCACTCACCCTGTGCTCTCCGAGGACCCAGTCCTGGGGACCCCCTACCTCCATCTTGTGTGCCTTCCTGCCCAGGTGCCCACCCACCCGGCCAGGCATCTGTTCTTTTCCCCACACTCCCAGAATGCATCTGGAGGTCTCTGTCACTCTCCCCTGGTCCTCGGCCAGTGGTCATCTGTGAGCATCGGTAGAAATGTATGGTCATCTAGGACCATCCACGAGACACTGGTTTGCATCAAGAAAACGGCAGCGTCAGGCTTGGAGGAAGGCTTATTAACAGCCTGAAATGAGCAGACGGCCCAGCCTTGCTCGCTGACCGTGAGGAGGACTCGAAGCCCTTGCTGACGAAGATCAAGGACTGTCGCCCCAGTGTGGGTGATGACTCCGGGTCCAGAAGACCCCGATCCTCAGCGCTGACCCACAGGTCACCTCGTGATCAATGCAGAAAAGCTGGAGCTGTCAAGGGTCTGCCCTCCCTGGATCCACAGTCAGGTGCTCAGGAAGCAGCAGTCAGACCAAAGGCCGTGCTGCATTGGTACACCTGCCGCACAGACCGCTTTAGAGGGGGGAAAGCAGGGAGGGGACTTTGAGGACTCAGGGGCGCCTGACCGTGGCCGCGGTCTTTCCGATGGCTTCTTCCGCGTGTGGAAGTTGGATGCTGACTGAGGAAGGCAAAAGGCGGGCGGGGGGATCTGAAGGGCCGTGCTGGAGAAGAACACTGACAGCCCAAAGGACAGCGCAGTCTCCCGCCAGAGAGCACCCAGCAGCAAAGACGGGGAGACCCTGTCTCGTGAACTTGGCACGTGTTGACAGGGGCGGCCAGTCCCTGGTCCCTGGGTGCCGTGGAGGGGCCGTGAGGGAGAGGAAGGCCCGTGAGGAGATGGACGGACACCGGCCGCACCAGTGGGCTCAGGCATACAACCACGGTGGCTGGTGCAGGGCTGGGCAGTGTTTCGGTCGATTGTGCACGGGTCTCAGTGGGTGGGCCCCACCACCAACAGGACCGTCCCGTGGCCGTCCATGTCATCCACGACCGATGGGCAGTTGGAATTTCCTCAGGATTCCTTGTATCAGGGAGGGGGTGACAGACATACACTGTCCCTGCACTGCCTTACCTGCCTCCAGGTGCGCCCGCAGTCTGAAGTGATGTACATTTCTTCTTTATACTCCACCAGCTGCGAGCCCAGGTTGCCTGGTCCCAGAGAGAGGGGGCGGGGTCACTCCCAGGCCTGATCGGCTTTCCCCGCCTCTGTCCCGTGGACTCCCCGGACAGCACGGTGATTTCGGGATCCGGCAGCCAGGCTTCTTTACCAAGGACATCCCTCTGGTGGCCGCCCTGGCTACCAGCTCCCCCTCCCCACCTGTCCTCCGACGATGCCCAGCCTCCACTGGAGCTCAGAGTGCCCACCTGCCCGAGCAGCCATCCCTCTCCCCATCGGAGCCCCCAGCAAAAGCTTTGTCCCAGGGCCCAGGTGGCAGCTGGGCAACGGCTGTGTCGAGCAGCTGACCTGGATGCTGCGTGCTGGGTGGAGGGGCACAGGACCCCACCTGCAGATCAGGAGGTGGCGGGGAGACCAGGGGCTTTGGGAGGTCCTGGGACCCCGCCAGGCCTAGAGAGGTACAGCCTGGGCTTGCAGGTGAGGGTCTAGGTCAGCAGTTCTCGACCTTCCTAATGCTGAGACCCTTTCATACAGTTCCTCATGTGGTGGTGACCCCCAACACTAAAATTATTCTCATTGCTACTTCATCACAGTCATTTTGCTACTGTTACGAATCAGGTGACCCCTGTGAAAAGGGCGTTCGATCCCCAAGGGGGTCGCAACCCACTGGTCTAGGTCAAGCTCAAAAAGCCCAGAGTGGGCCACTTTACAGAGGAGCAGCCGCACACAGGGGGATGCAGCAAAAGCAGTATCCCTGGGGAGGGGCTCAGCCCCAAGCGGATCGTGGCCTGGAGGGCTGGGCCTGGCCTCCCCACGACATCCGGGAGATGGTCTTAACCAAAAGGTTTGGCAGCCCCTCTGCCCTCCAGGGTCTCCACCGGGACCAGGGGCCTGTGGTGAAGACACCCAGGCTGCTTTGGTCCAGGCCCCGACGGGCCCTGCCTCCGTGGCCAGAGTTCAGATGCCGCTTGAAGTCTTATTTATGTGGTGCTCTCAGCAGGACTTTATGCAGAGACGAATTCAGACATGGTTGGAAAATTCCAAAGTCAACGGACTGCCTCAAAGAGATGATTTAGTTAATGTCCTTGCTAACCGAGCGGCAGAGTGTGTGTGCCTGGCTTCTGCTTTTCAAAGTTCATCCATCCTCCATCTGTCTGTATGCTCGGTCTCCATCTGTCTGTACACTTGCCCATCTATCCACCCACCCACCCATCCTCCCACCCATCTACATCTTGTCACCCATCCATCCATCTATTCATCCATCCATCTACCCAGCCACCCACCTACATCAATCCACCCACCCATCCATCCAACTATCCACCCACCCATCCATTCATTTATCCATCCACTCTTCATTAGTGTATTCAGCCAGCCAGTTCCCCATCCGTCATCCATCTATCCGACCACCCACTCTTCATTAATTCCACGGCCTACCCATTCCTCCAGGCATCCATCAGCATGTGCTGAGTACACACCTCAGTCCCTGCCCCCTGAAAGCTCTGTGTAGAGGGGGAGCCGACAGGTGAGCCTGCAGTGGTCCCCAGAGCGGGGAGCGGAAGTCCGTGGAGTGTGAGGGCAGGGACGAGAAGTTGATGGGTCTGTGTGTTTGGGGTGGGGTGGGGGTGGGGAGGTAGCTGAGATGGCATTCGGGGAAGCAGTGACCACTCGCGTCATGGGGAAAAGCTAAGCATTTCCAGATCCAAAGACAAGCCTAAGCCCACACCAGCTCAGCTTGGGGCTGGGCAGCCTGTGCTGAGAGCTGGCGCAGCTCTGGGGGCCGGGCTGGCGGACGCTGTGCCACGCTCCCCCCTCGCGAGTGCGCTCAGTGAGTGAGTGCGGGGGCTACTGTGGGCCCTCAGTAAAAGCAAGGTGGCCTCCAAGCAGAGTCAGCGCCATGGCCACCAGCACCCCGGGTGTCTATCAGCCATGCCGCCTTGGCACCTCCAGGACACAAAGCTGCTTATTTTGACAATTCTTCAAACAAAACTAAGCCTCATTCAATTACAGTACACCACTCATCGATCCCTTAAAAAGCCTAATTTAGGAACAAAAGATGTCACTAATGATACAAATCATTCATGCTTCCAATCCTTCATCCTCCCATCCATCTAGCTCCATCCATCCATTCTCCAATTCATCCATCCACCCCCCCCATCCATCTACCCATCCTCCATCCATCCTATTCATCCATACACCCATCATCCATCC